AGGGAAAATGTGGAAGGAGACATCTGCCATGTAGGATGGGGGAGTTGTGCCAAAGCCTTAAAGTGAGCATGAGACACTTAATTCAGCTTGGTGTAGTATACAAGGGATTGCCAGTGGAGAAATGTTAAAGTACCATGTGTCAGTTTCCCACGTAGACAAAGAGTTATTTTTGTCTCCACAAAACCACATACATTAGCGAGCCAAAAACATTTTCCTAAATGTTTATACTAAAAATGTTTGTTTTGATTTTCTTCCAGGGCAGTTTTTGTGTACTTGATAAAAATAATGAAATTGATGAGGAGATCCTAGGGTTTGGTATGTTTTTAAAAAAAAGAGATTAGGAAATTCAGCTGGGTTTCTCAGTCTTTAACTCAAACATTTCTGCTAAGGTTTTGAAGCCTTCAATTAGTTTATATGCAACCGTGCTCTCCTACTGAGTTTAAAAATGCATTAATAATTTAGCCAAAAATCTTATATCTTCATTGGGAGCTTTTTCTGTGGAGACTTTAGCATTGGGTGCAAGTGAAATTTCAGAAAGTTATGCTGTACAGAATGGTTTAACTTTCTTTTAATCCAAGGAACAGTTTTTAAAGTATGAAGGATGGTCTATGGCTAAGGCATTGGGCTGTGATTCAGAGATCTGTCTTCCATTCCCAACTTTTCCACAGACTTTCTGTATGGTCTTGGGTCAGTCACTTACTACCTCTGTATCCCAATTTCCAACCTCTAAAATGGGATAATGATACTGTTGACTCTTTGAAGCATATTCTCTTACTGACTATATGCTTGTACATGCCTTGTACAAAGGGGCTAGTATTTTATTGGTCCAGAAAGATTTATTGTTCTTACTATAGAGATGTGAGCTTCCTAAATCACCAGATCACAGCCATCCTTTTGTTACTTTTACTCACACAAGCAAAACTGTGGAGACAATTGCTGTGTCACCTGGTGCAAGGTAAAATATAAAAGTAACATCAGACAAGCCTTCTGCAAAATGTCCAGTTTACATCTGAGCTATACGTTGCACAGATATAAGGGTTGAAGGCTCAAGGAAAGAATTCTTGTTCCCTCAGGTAGTCGAGCCACTCCAGAACAATGCATTGAATAGCCTCCAGGGGCCCATACATAGCTGTGCTTGATGGGTGGTGGGAAATCTTGCAGGCAGCAGTACAGAGCAGAGCTCCATGCAGTACACAGTGTACATACAGTGGTACATCTGAAGTCCTTAAAAATGCAGGAATTTCCCCATTGACTCTTCTGATATATCCTCAGAATCTCTCTTCTGCCTGGCACACTAAATATTAAATCTTCATAATAATAATATAATGAATAAAATTGTCATCTCTGAACTACTTGCTTCCCCACACCTCTTCACTCTCTGACACATTTCCATTTTCCAACAAGCCATACTGCTTCTGTAGTGCTATCTGTGTGATCTACTGCAACCTGTATAGATGCTTTGTAGTTGTAGTCAAATGTGATGAGGACTGTGATATTTTCATGTATAAGACTCAAAAGAGGTTGTAGAGCAGTACTTAGCTGGAGAAGTGGATCCAACACCAATAGTCAGAAGAGTAACTTGAAGGGCTTGGACTCTGCACACAGGCATTCAGAGCCTTGGCCTTTTGACATTCAGACCACCTCTATGGAGCAAGAGCAAGGTATGGCTCTAGGATTAAATTTGAATCCCTCAGACACTTGTACTCACTGTGAAAGTTATATTAACGTTTGCTGTGCCAAGGTAGTTGAGAGAACCTTTACCACATTTCTAGAACCTGAATATTTTTACACACCATAAAAGATGATTTCTTATTCCAGCTATAAACTAACGTGACTCACTTTTATATTAACAAAAAGGTCTCACAATTCTTGTTGCTTGCTTAGGTGATGCAGGTGTCTGAGACAAAATTAAGGAAAAAGGTCATATTATCAAAGTCTGTTTTGATAAGAGAGTGATAGAAATGTAGCTATGTTAGTCTGGTGTAGCTGAAGCAAAAAACAGGACTATGTAGCACTTTAAAGACTAACAAGATGGTTTATTAGGTGATGAGCTTTTGTGGGCCAGACCCACTTCCTCAGATCAAATAGTGGAAGAAAATTGGCACAACCATATATACCAAAGAATACAATCCAAAAAATGAACACATGAAAAGGACAAATCAAATTTCAGAACAGAAGGGGGATGAGGAGGGGAGGTAAATGTCTGTGAGCTAATGATATTAGAGGTGATAATTGGGGAAGCTATCTTTGTAATGGGTAAGATAATTAGAGTCTTTAGTCAAACTTAGACGTAAAAGTGTCGTATTTAAGCATGAATGACAGTTCAGAGGATTCTCTTTCAAGTGTAGTCTTAAAAGGCCTTTGAAGCAGGATGCAGGTAATCAAGTCCTTGAGACAATGCCCTTTCTGGTTGAAATGGCAAGAAACTGTTTTTTCTTTGTGATCCTGTCTAATATCTGTTTTGTAGGCATTGATTCTTTGGCGAAGTGACTGAGACGTTTGTCCAATGTACATAGCAGACAGACACTTTCGGCACATGATAGCATAAATTATATTTCTGAATGAGCAGGAATATGTGTTCTTGATCTTATAATTCAATTGGTTAGGTCCAATAACACTTCGACACTAATCACCTAGGTCTAAACAAAGACATTAATTATCTTACCCATTACAAAGATAGCTTCCCCAATTATCACCTCTAATATCATTAGCTCACAGACATTTACCTCCCCTCCTCATCCCCCTTCTGTTCTGAAATTTGATTTGTCCTTTTCATATGTGTTCATTTTTTGGATTGTATTCTTTGGTATATATGGTTGTGCCAATTTTCTTCCACTATTTGATCTGAGGAAGTGGGTCTGGCCCATGAAAGCTCATCACGTAATAAACCATCTTTGTTAGTCTTTAAAGTGCTACATAGTCCTGTTTTTGTTTTGATAAGAGTTTTTATGATGCCTTCTAGCTATGACTCTGAGCTTTATGAAAAATGAGAGAAAGAAAGATTGGTTTTAAGTGGTACAAAACTAGTACCCCAATACAATGGGTTATAATTATTTAAAATATAATAATAAGCTGGTGCCTTCTAAACGTGTTAGAAAAAAGTAACACAGCTTCCAAAATTAGTACTAAATGAGTAAGAACAGTATAATTGGAGTCTGGCAATGCTACAGGAACAAAATTTAATATGTGACCTTAACTATACATGTATACTTCTTTAAAATAAGTCTGGTTTAACTTTAGCTTTAAATTTTCAAACACACACACTTATTTTGGGTCTTTAAACATTTTTCTCTGCAATGCAACACAAAATAGTGGTGGCTTTAACTAATGAAAACATTATCATGTTAACTGAATAGTGTATTGGATGATATATCTTCAGGAAGATAAGTGATCTTTTATTTTAATCCAAAATAAGATGAGAAGTGTGTTGTAAAACAAGTTTTAGCTGAATTTCTCCAGCTTGCTTGTTTTCAAGAGCTGACTAGTACATAGTGAAGTGATCAAGACCTATGCAAGCTGCTTCATTTTATATGTATAGGTAATGGATTGTTTTA